CCACCTAGAAGACGGAAACGTTCGCGATAGATAATCGGCAAACATCGCAACTGTTGGTCCGAGAGGTTGTTAAGCTATTAATTAAACAGAAAATAAACAAAGGTTAGATGAAGACGATGTAGCAAATGATCATCTTTGAAGTTTTGTCGATCTCATCTTTGGAATGTCGGTGTTAATAGAATTACGTCGCTATTTATCAGAAAAACGGTATAGAAGGAGATAAGTTTAAAAAAATAATAAATAACTACGAACCATCTTGTTGGCGATGGCGCGGATGATGACCGTTTTGCTCGTTTGTGAAATGGGGGAGTACCTGATAAGTGCATTGTCTTGTGAAAGTGCTATAACAAAAATATAATTAAACAAGAAATATCAAAAGCTTATATCAAAAGCTTATTACGAAGAAACTCTGGTTGATTCAGAACAGCAAGTGAGTGAAGGAGTTTGTCACTCTAACTTTAACCACCTCTGCTGTAACTAGTTAACAGTTGCTGAAATAATTAAAGGACTTTCTTAATACTTCGGTCTCTAATACTTCAGATCATCGGTTGTCATCTCCCGTATGCCGTGAAAGATGAGTCTTAATTTTTACAATAAATAATGAATAATGATTACTGGGCTACATTTCTTCTTTGTGTTGATACCCGGTACATGGATATTGTTGGACAAGCTACAACTTTACAACAAATGGAACTTAATAATTATCATTTCTATTCTGAGGAAATAAAAGGAAGTAATATCGTTGTAATATCTGTGTAGAAACTGAGGACTTGGTTTATTCCTTAAATATTTGCGGTCAGTCAGAATCCAACTTTTCGGGGAACTAATCAGCCCCAACACCCTTGCTCCTTGTGGTTAATTAACGACTTAATCAGGATCCCCGTATCAGATGATCTGTTGGTTCCGGTATCTGTTCTTATCAGTGATCCTAACAGGTGACGGATCATCTTTCATAAAGGCTACAATACACCGTTTTGCTCCCACTATGCTAACGGTATTCCGCGTTACTCAATTAGCTGCCAGTTGAGTCGTTAAGTGCAGTATGTGAATTCCGTCGAAATTGTAATGGAATTTTAATAAAAACCTGCGTGAATTGTGATGCAATTGTGATATGACGTGTGAATGGGCTAATTTTTTGATAAACGCACACGAATGGTCTTGACACTTAGGGGCAATTTCTGGTAATAATATTATTTAGGTAGAAATAATTAACTTTTTTCTTTTTTTTTTTGAACTTTTCTTCAGAATACAGAAACCAGTGTCCAATTTGATCTACTGCTTACAGAGTTTTTTTAATTTATCAAATTTGCTAGGGAAGTTCTCCGCATATTTTTCTACTTCGCTATTTGCTTTCTGCGTGGTCGAAATCGCTAAAACTCGTGCACGAGCATTGTTCATTACTGACCGATGACCAATCGACGATTGATTGATGTGAACGCGGATAAAAATTACTTCAAGCATTTCACTGTGATCTTAATGTCTGTTCACTTCATTTCGTTTATTTTCAATTGCCGTCATGAATGATTCTAGTCATGGATATGCTCCGTACATCGTTTGCCGCTGGCTTTAGAATATAATGAGAAAGTTTTACACTGGAAGCAGTGAAGTGTTCATCAGAAATCCATAAACAAATCCGAAAAAGTGTGAAATACGGGTTTTAGCATCACCAAGTCCAAATACTTAATGAGCTTAAGGTAACCGATAAGTTACACTCTGTTAGATAATCACTCCCTTTTTCCGATTTCCAATCTCCGGGTTTAAAGTTGCATTTAATATTTCTGCGGGAGACATTTTTTCGGTGATTTTAATGTAATCCCCCTTATTTCGCGTGAGAATGTTCCCATGCATATGGTGGTCTTAAAGCTCCAGAGGTTGCTTCTCAGTTGTCTGGAAACTGCCCAGAGAATTGTAATTAAAGAAGGCGGACGCAAGAGGCTCTGGAGACGGACAACTCGTGCGTTATGCGAATTCTGTTGAATCTCCAAGCTTTCTGTTATAAGACACAAATAGCCGTGAGAAAGATGGACACACTCTGTTCAAAGATAGTGGAAGTTGTTTTAAAATTCAAAAGTTATTTAAGTTGGTTTTTGCTTTTCATTTTTCATCTGTAGGACTTATCTTATTAGTTTCTTCAGCTTATTATCAAAAACACCAAGAACTAATGATGTTGAAATGTGCAACTCCTTTCTGCATTAAGTACATGTACATCACTGTTTCATGACAGTGTAAATATTGCAAAGAAGCAATAAAACTATTGCAAGAACAAACAACATGAAAAGGCACATAAGTGATAAAACGGTCATTGCAAAATGCATCGCATTCATATTTGTTGCAATCTCCTAATAAAAAGGGTAGAAAAAATAGCAAATCTACTGTAGCCTTGTTACACGCGCCGTGTCATGCCAGAATAGGTACGGTTGGTAATTAGCAAGAATATGTAAAGCAGCAATTATGAAGTTAGTTTAAAAAGTTTAATTTCAAAACATTTTTAAATAATAAAAATGAAGTTAGAAATATACGTAATGGGGAAGTAACAGACAAGGGAGTGGCATACCCTATAGGCCTACATATGCGGGCGTGCAAATAAAACACAATCAGCGAAATTATACCTTCTTAATCATCTTATCAGTAGCATACACATTTGAGACGTACCTGGATATTTTGGTCAATTACATATTTTAGCAGGACACATGCATGTAAAGAGAGACTTGAAATTATGTGCTTTCTTACGTTTAAATTGAACTTCACTCCATTGGTGAGCCTCAAATGCATTTCTGCTACTGTGTAAAATAGTGTTGCCAACTTCACCATAACAAGCAAATAAAGATGGGGAAAAACGCAAAGTAAAAATCAGTCGATTATTTAAACTCAAAGTGAAAATTCAAAAAGGCAAACAAACAAATAACAGCGTTTGATATTTCGCCCTCAATGTTGCGCATTTTAATGTTCTTGCAAATAATTTAAGTGTGGAAATTTACACCAACAGTAGTATATGCATAGTCCTGTCGCCCTTTGATCAAAGGTAAGTTTGAAAGCGAAGATGGGCTATTCGTACAAGTCTGAAAAAAAAAAGGAAAGGTCTGGTTTGCCTGTCTAATAGCTCCAGTGTTGCTCTACATAGAGCGGGTGTAAATTGTTGAAGTGTGCAGTTGTAACACACACAATACAACATGAAAACCAATGCACTCTGCTTCCTGTAGCTGTTCACGCTACGACGAAGGTGGCGGACACTGACGTGTTAGTTTTCGCGCAGAATAATACCGCTATCCTTCCTGTCTTTGCGGGCTTTGTTGAAATTACACAAGCCAAATGTGTACCATGTAAAATTTAGTCTAGTAATGCTTTACTCTTCTCATGTAAAATGCACGCAGTCTGGCATTACGCTCTGCTAGTTTCCATACATGCTGCTATGGTCAAGCCATTACAACTCTTTCACAAATAACGTATAAACGCACAATGCTAATTTTGTTCTTATCTTGGGCAGTTTTTTTTAATTCTATAAAGTAGGCTATCTTGTTTAAGTAAAGCTTTATTCTCTCAATGCTGTGTTCTCAACGCAGTATTCAGCTATCTCAATTTATGTTCTTGATGTCATGGCTTGAATAAGGGGGTTTATTCGGAGTGCAACCCGCCCGTTATTGGGGCCCGGTATTGAACCAGAAGCCTTTTACATGTGGAGCGTTTCTATATACCTTCCCAAGATCAACCATGTGAAATATGTATGGTTTGCTACATCTATTTTTGTGATGTTGTTTGTGTGGAAACTGCCCAGAGAGTTGTATGTTGCATGTGCATGTACAGAACATGTATTTTCACCGAGCTGCATTTTCTTTTTCTAAATTTGGACTTGACTTTTTACGACAAATGTGATACCAAATTTGGTCCGACATTTGTAGCAGCATATGTATATGCAGGCTAAATGACGAATCTTATGCGCGCATCTATAACACTAAAAATTAATCAGTTAAATGGTAAACTACCTAGCTTTCTAACACTGTTAAATTATAACTTACGGCAGCAGGCTTGTTAAATGAAATTTACCATGAAAAATAACTCCCGTAAATAAGTAAAGCTACTGGTAGGTACAGCACCTAAATTATAGCCCATATTTGGTGCTGATTTCTTCGCTCATCACCAGAATTGGCATATAAAGATTTTTAGCAACGGATTAGTTAAGGCACCCTTACTGTTAATTTTAACAGTATATTTTCGCCATTTATTACGTCAATGAATTAAACACACACACACACACACACACACACACACACACACACACAAAAAAAAAAAAAAAAAAAAAACAGGAGAACAAATGACGGGAGGGGATTTCTTATAGGCTGTCTTTACAGTTACGCCCCTGTTCGCCATGTTAAAAATATCAACAGCGCCATGTCACATTGTTCACCAACAGATCGATGTAACATCCTGATCCGAGTGACCTCTTGAAATGAGCTTTCTTTCATGACACTTTCAACATTTCCCATGGCGATCTGATGAGAACGCGTTCTAGATTAGATGTTATTTTTTTCATCACCTTCGAAGATTCTTTTTAAACCTAGGGCCTATTTATCTTTCCAGACGTGATAACTATTGTTTTTTTCCGTAATCTATTGAGAGTTCAAAATCCATAAATATGAAGAAAGTTGTCAAAACATTGACTACGTCAGTTATTATACCCTATGATGACTGGGCTTCGTCCGATTGTTTTTAAACAATTAGTTTCTGTTTTGTTTCAATGGTTTTTTTATTTGACAAGCTTCTTATCTTCCGCTGCTTTCAAATGGTCAAGTTAAACAAACATCATCTTGAATTCCATATCAATTAATTCTTTCTCCAAACAAATCCACTCTACATATTCAAGTCCACTGCCATCTTTGACTAGTAACAGCTAACGAAGAACATCAAAAGCAGAAAAACATGAAGACGAAGCGCACCCTAGTGACTTTTATCATCACTACGGCATAATAGTATCGATAAGCATTTGTGACCATTTTTAGCCTCCGCTTCCGGTTGCCGGATTTTAAACAGCATGCGAGAAAAAGTAGGTAGAAACACATATAAATATACCCATAAACTTAAGAAAATCACACAAGGATAACAAATTAACATTCAACGATGTAAGTTTCTTATGATATAATAGCAAAGGCAAATAGGGAATGTATGTGGTAACTGTGAGTGTTACGCGCCAAATTTCGAGATGTAAGTTTCATTTGGATCAAATGGTCCCATATCCATTAATATACTTGTAACAACTCATAAATTTGTGATACAGATTAAAATAAAACCTCACCGATATGGTATTTTAGTCTTTTAATCTGTGAATATTTGAATTGGAATATGTGATCCGTCTGGAATCGTGTGTAAATGCTAATATCCATATATATATAGCTCCGTTTATATCAGAGCAAGAATCTGACTGAGAAGTTGAAAGAAAAGATGTGAACCCTGTCAATTCAGCTTACATTGTGGATCTTTTTTCTCAACCTACCCTCACCTTCAAGAAAAAACCATATAGATACATTGAAATGTTGCAATCACAGGGCATTTGGGCTTAATCAAGAAATATAGACAGGATAGCCACTAAACTTTTCAATATTATATTGTTTTGTTAAAAAGGACCAATATGCTGTCTTTTACATGCATGATTACAGGTCTATAATAATCAAACACAGCTACATTCAGCACATGGAGAATTTCTACATTGCTTAATTTTTAAATACAAAGTCAATGTAGTCACTAATAATGGTAACACAGAATAAGTCACTGATTTAAATGACATGTTTATTGTTTTTAGATGAAAGTAGAATTGGTCAGGGTGACTCAGACATACGTCCATGTTTCACATCATATCCAAGACCAAGACTGCCATCTCTGACATACAGGTACCTTTATTGTTTTTAGCTATTGTCTCTGGAGATAAACACAAAGCACAAAAAGAGTATCATAGTGTCAGAAAGTTAGGACTAAATAAACACAAGCATTTGAAAACAAATATGGTTATTCATTTACTTCTTGATAAACAATTACCTTTTTTATGTTACTCTAGTTTTTTTTATTCCAGATTTTGAGGTGTGATTCCCCTCCCCCTGGAGATAGTTGTCTGGTCAAGCACAGGCTGCAGTTAATGAATGGAACCATGCAGGACCAGGCATGTGAACATCAGGTAAGTCATCACTCCAGATAACACACCTGAGAATTGGCTTGCACATGTTGTCTAGTCTCCCTCCAGCAAGTTAAATTGTTTCCAAGTAATTTAGAGAGAAGTTGCTTTGTTTTTAAAGCATTAATTAGAACAGTTTGATTTCTTAGCAGTATGAAAAGCTGATTTTGACGGAAAATATCCTCGCATTAATCACAATGTTCTAGTCAATGTTAAATCAACATTTGATATATTTATGGAGTATTATGTTTTTTTGTTGTTAAAATAATGCATACATGCTTGATTTGGATTATTGTTTTTTTCCTGGTGTGTGTGTGTGTGTGTGTGTGTGTATATATATATATATATATATATATATATATATATATATATATGATTGTACACATTTAACATTCAGTTAGATAATGCCATGGGTTTTATACATGAACTTTGGAATTTTTTTCTATTTCTTTTTTTAAGAATAGGCTTTTATAAGTACTAGTAGGCATTAAACTTCATTTTTGAAATGCTGGAATATTTAAAAACCACATCCCTGCCTACTCAGACACAAATTTAGTGACACACACACACACACACACTGAAACACTTATTAAAACATGCATATTAAATTCTGTGTAGAAGTTACCCGTGAGACTTTAAATGAAGTATTCAATATTTATAAAGAAGACAGCCATACCTTAGTCTAAGATCATAGTCATGTCTTACCAGACAGTTTATTGTCCCTTTGGAGATGTGAAATAGTATGTCTTCACATAAACATAATTGAATTCTAAAGATGAGCTGTACTTTTATGAATTTCTTTTGGGAGAAGGGGGGGGGAGGTGTTGAAGATTCTTCAATTGTATTATATATACTTGTATAGGCAGTACGTAGAATTGTTAGGGTCAAACAAGCAATTTTTCTGTCAGTCACATTTTAAAAATTCACCAGAATAGTGATAAAGTTACATTATCTTTAAAATGCTGCAGAAATTTTAGCTAACTTGGCATTTCTAGATCATTCTTTATAAAATCAATATATATAACAATGCATATATAGGTTTCAGGAGAAAGGAAGACTGGAGTATGAAGGAGAAGTATAAACCTGGAAATTTTTGGTAGGGTTTTCATATCTTATTTAACTCATCTGAATTTTTTAATTGAAGCCTTTTCCATAGATAAGAATCCTTTCTCAATACTTGACAGGTAAAAAGGTTTATAAAATAATTTCCTTTGGTGTAAGGATTATAAAATATCATGCACCTTTTTTGCCAGATTATTGTGGGATCACTGAATAAAATGATCATTTGGTTTTTCAAAGATTATGCTAATGAAAACCTATGGTAGAATATATATATTGTGCTTTATTCAGATATTGAAAACTAACATAATATTAGAGGTCCTATGGAATATAAGAAAAGGGAAGTGCATTGAATAAATTCATTAAAACGATCATCTAATACATGTATGTGCAATTAAGTTCAACATGTTCTTTTTCTTCAGTCTTGACTCTCTTATTTACATGTGCCTACCTTCTTAGCTCAGCTGTTGTAGGAAGTCTTTTATCTTCAGCTGTGTTCAAGAAAAGAAGAAATCAGTGTGACCCACACCTACTAGTAATCCCACGAGTAGAAACTCTGTGATATTCCCCACGTGCACACAGACCCACCATGAATAGGAAATCAAGTGAGTTCAGCCTACTGTAAAATTGTCTTTTTTAAATAACATTTTATATTTGGTAAATATTACAAATTCCATATGTGTTCAGTATTTGGAAAGTAAGTCCACTGCATGTGTTTTATAGCTTTACAGTGACTGTACAGTTTATGGGAATGTCAGATGTATGTAAAAACTATTGCAAAAAAGAATTGGTAACTCTGTATTAACATTTTTTTGATTAAGTGAAAAAGTATATGCTGCATCTGAGTCGAGTGGTAAGAGTTCTGGAAGATTGCATTTTTATGTGTTAACAGTCATTTTATTTTTGCCTAATGCATATTTAGTAATTCCATCCAAAAACACAACTGTTGTAAACCACATTTAAGTGCTAATTGTTGCCTTCAAAATATGCTAACATGTTTATAAAAATTAAAAAGATACTGTAGCTTTGTTATTAAACGTGGTTAAAGGCCCAGCATTACAACATCTGTCATGTGAATACAGTATATAAATCACAAAAGTTAACAGAGTGCTATTTTCCTATTTGTGTTAGACACAAATGTAAATTTATTCTTTGAATTGCTATAATTACCAGATTTGGGACTTGTTAAAATAAATTGAATTAATTGAAATCAGATATTTTCATCTCAAGCCACACAAGGTGCTGCTGCCATGTTATGAAATTTCAGAACTTCTCCCTCAAGTTCTCCCATGTGTGCCTCGTCCCCGACTCAAACCACTTAAATAGTACCGTAACATAATCTATCAAACAAAAAGAGGCTCTCGAACCAAACTTCGGAGGTGGCCATTCGATTAATTACGTCTGAGGGATTTGTTGACTGGGTTGTAAGAACACAATGTCTATCCGTGTCAAGATCTGCGATTCGATCCAAGATAAGCCCAATCGGCGACCAATCTACTTTGCCATAATTGATTTTTGGTGGGTGTCCTTGTTTGAAGACTCCTGACTTCTTGTATGAAACCAAAGGATATTTTAATACTGTCCCAGCTCTCTTTTTCTTTCTCCACAATGTTAACATACTGCAGGAATGAGTAATTATTTGCAGATAATGGATTTTTTTCTTTTCATTGTTATTCTATATGACCAACTTCATTAATGGTATCACTACCTACAAGACAGATCAAATTGCCTTTTAATATCTTTACAGTTTGGAGCATTCAAGAAAGGGTTTCCCGTGCCTGAGAGAGTTTACATGTCAAGACTGTCAGTTCGGTCCCAAATTCCCAGCAGGCTGCCGGGGTTTCCTTGTCGTAGACAATTCACCGACATCATTATGAACTCTTTAGCAGTAATGGCCAACTAAGAAAAGAGGTATCATGTTAGTTAATAAGCGTCTTCTACTGCATTGAACCATTTCCTCTCTCTGCCTCATATTTCAATGGGCATGTTGGCTGATTGTTGGTAATTGTACAATAGGTATAGGATTATATGTCTCTTGAATTGATTTAATGTGCATGTTGTGTTTGAATTGATACCACTAGTGAATTGTGCTTAAAGACTGCTGTCTTTATCTAAGATTGGCATTCAGGTTTGACAGTTTGGTGTAATGAGGTACATCTTCTCATTCATTAAAGGTTTCCACTAGTGATGAGACTCCTAGCAATTTCTTTAAGTCTCTCTCTCTCTCTCTCTCTCTCTCTCTCTCTCTCCCTCTCTCTCTCTCTCTCTCTCATTTGCATGTAGTATGAGAATTGATTTTAGTCCCCTTCATTTACCCAAAGATTAAAAAAATCACCCTATGTTTTATATCTACTAAAATGGAGATGATTCATTTGTATAAACTTGCCTATTTCTTACATTGGTTCATTTATTCAGCAAGAAGAAGGTACCAGTATTTCTGTACAGTATGCACTACCAGTGAGTAATTTACACGTATACTTTTGGGGACTTTAAAGAGATGTCACTTAGAAATTCATTGTAGGAATGGTTGATATATTACAGGAAACTAAAGCCACTAGTGAAAAAGGGTGGGAATTTCCAATGAAAGACAAAATGAAATTATGGAGCCATTTAGAAAGTGAATTTACATACAAATAAAAAGTATATACATGTGAAGATCAAATAGATTAGTTTTTGCTTTCTGCATACTAATTACTTATTCATGCCCTAAAGTTACTTTGATGATGATGTTTTTAGCATTGCAATTATAAGTTTTTTATTGTTTGTGATAGTATCTCTTCCTCTAACACTATTACTGTAGCATAGGACAGTGGGACAGACAGTGACACCTATAGGCCATAATTGTTGTCCTTCATGGTCTTAAAAATATCATTTTAGGAATGCTAGACTGATATATAATATAGAAGATGGTAAGAGCACGATACTGCAGCTCTACTTACATGTATATATCTGATTGTGCATTAACAGGCTAAGTATTAACTTGTCTGCACGTTTGAATTTGTTTTTATATTACAGTTGTCTACCCCAGTGCAAGAAGTGAGGGAAGGGGGTGTCTCTTTGTTCATGTGTCTGTGAACACATTGAATTTCTTATTTGTCTCCCTTCACAAAGACTTGTTTTCATTTGTTGTTACCAGTTGAAAAAAATTGAAATTGAGGCATTTTGATTTTTATTGCTGTTCCACAATCTTCAATCAATTTCAGAGACATTTTACACAAAGACCTCAACACTTACTTGTGCACCTCTCATTATTCATTATTTCTGTACAATTTTTTTAGAAAACTCAATGCTACTTTAGTACTGTGTAGTAATATATCTTATCCTATAGTTTTCACAAAATTTCAAGAAAACTTCTCAGACATAGAATTAGTGATGAGAGATAATGCACCTGGACATTCTGTACATGTTGTAAGATCTATCAAAATGTCTAACAGTTAGTCCACCTCTGTTACCAACTTTAGAACTTGATCACTTCAGGAAGAGGGGGAGCCAGGGCTGCCGAAATTGGAACTGAAGACCCTCGCAGGACTTTTGGATGACTTAGGCAGGATTGACCCTCAGACCTATTTTTCAAGGTCACATGGTCATTTTAAGATCAACATCTGAATTTACAATGAATACCCCAGATATATTTGTACCAGAAGCTCACACACTTAAGTACCAATACTACCCCCCCCCCTTTTTTTTTTGGGGGGGGGGGGCGGTGGTGATGGGGGTAAGGCTGTTTTTGTCACAATAAGGGATAATTCTAGTTGTCTTTAGATATGAGGCATGGGTTCAAGGTGGGGACAAGTTCTGCACAGACTGTGGTGACACCTATACAAATTTTCAAAAGATAAACTGTAGCTTATTCACCGTTTTGACCCCTTTTTATTAGCACATTTTATACCAAAATTTTATAATTAAAAAAGAATATTTGATTGTTTAAGATGAAATATCTGGTTGTGTCATTAATTTTCAAAGTCCTTTGTAATGTTAAAATAAAGAAAACAAAGTGGTCTTCCAAGTTGTATGTCTTCTACTGCTTGCATTCAAAGGAGGATGGTATTTGACTGAAAATTGCCTGAAATGTGCCAATGGAGGCCTAGATATCCCAGCTTGGTTGAAGCAGAAAGGGGTGTTGATGACCCTTCACCTCTGCCTTGTAAATAATGAATGAGATCAGAACACGATGTCTGGAAAAAACATAATTGACATGTTATGGAGAGGTTCTTTATTACTAACAATAATCTGGTACTTTAAAATTGAGGAAATTAGCATGTATAACAGCATTACTTTGATCCCAGACTTGAATTATGCTTATGAATCTAGGCAATACTCATGACTGCTGTTAGAACCAATACTGTACACCATAACTTTCAACTGAAGGTGATAAAAAATGAAAGAAAAAAGATGAAGTAAATTAATGGAAATAGAACATGAGACCTGTTTTTTTTATCATTCTAAACCTAACTTGATGATTGTGCCATCAGCAAACATTTCTTTTGTCCATTTTAAGAAACATTTGAATACTGTTTTTTTGATAAGTGTGATTTTTTCCATTGCATATATAGTGAAGAAGGAAAGGGCACAAATATAGCCAAATTAAGATTCACAGATAAATACAAGCATGTATCTTTAAGCAGCAAGCATGTTAACATGATGAGTTGAAGGATGTTTTCTCTAATACCCTCTGATGAAGTTCAAAATAACACATTCTTTTTTTTTCTAGAATCTTGTCAACATAGAGCCTGGGGCAGCAGAATCAGAGTTAAATGCCAGGATTTGACTTTGTTATCTAGCATGAAAGTGTGTGGTTAGATTCAGGAGATACCAACACCATATCTGAATCAGAGATCTGCCTTTATTGTGGTTCCTGTATTACTTTGAATTACATTTATTGTATACTACATATTATTGAATGCTGCCAAATATGAACCAAGACAACAGCCACCATGCGAGTTATTAGGACCACAACAGAGAGACCTCAACCAATTGCAGAAGGAACTAATGAGATTCTAAATTAAACTTTCCCTAGTGATAGAAAAGGCATTGACGACAAAAGGTGCTTATTTCCATCTTCTCTTTTCCATCCAACTACTCGAGCAATGCAGTTAATCATATTTCTGTAAATTGAGTTGCTCCTTGATAAATTCCCAGCATCATAAAATCACTTATGGTATGTTGTGGTATCTAAATCGGTCCATTTGCATTGCTGTAAACTGCCTCTGGTACACAGAACCTCTCTCTTTTTTCTCTCTGGTGTTGACCCTGCATTGTTACGGCATCCCTTACACCTGTTCTGCTTTTTTCTTGCAGCCCCGTACGAGGAAAAAATGCTGGCTGTCGATGAAAGACTCGCGGGTGTTTTTGTTTTCTGAAGCTTGATCACCTGTAAACATATGTAACTATCACCCTATAATATGGTGAGAATGAGAATGCTGTTTATTTAGGGGAGTTAATGTCTTCATTGTGGCTGCTTAGAAGGTTTTAGGTGCTCTTGTGGCTTTAATTTGTGTGTATAGTTGTACTGTTTTGGTAAAGTAATACTTGGTAAGCAAAAGTTAAAATGGATTAACCATTTGGTCTTAGAAAAAAATAATTTATCAGTACTTATACGTAATGA